AACAAACATTTGCTCCTGCCGCATGGCCTGCTCATCAGTCCACAAAACGCGAAGCCAAAAGGCATAGCTGGCCCTGGACTGTAAGATATTTTCTTCTTAATTTACCTATTCGACGTTCACACTTATTCTGTTTCATGGCTTACACTCCCTGGGGTTAAGCTGCAGTTCCATCTTACAAAAAATAGCTTTTTTGAAGTATGTCTGACAACATACGGCAGCAGTACTTGAAATTTATGCATTAATTTGTTCTAAATACATCTTTATTTTGCATTTTTTTACAACCCCAGGTTGGCCTATACACGAGCATAAGAGGACCCTATCCATTTTGCGGTGGAACACTGATTGCCCCTGACTGGGTTATTACCGCGGCCCATTGTGTTGAAATGGCCATGAACTGCATTGCCCCACCCGTTGGCGAACTGTTTACGTACGAAACCTATGCAAACGCCACACTGTTTGCCCGAATTGGTGACCATGATTTGAAAAAAACGGATAAATCTGAAAGGGATCGTGTGATCCACAGCATAATAATGCATCCAAATTTCAGGATAGAGTCGGGCTCCAGTGAACATGATATCGCCCTCCTGCGATTGCAGAAAGCCGTCGTGGCCGGTAAATACAAATGTTTGATCCTTCTGCTTATTTGCACCTGAACTGCATAGTCTATCGACCGCAGAGGACGGAAACCTGCTACCCTGACACAGAAACTATCCAGGTCTTTGCGAACCAAATTTTATGACGTTGCGTTCAGATTCGCTACACCCTCACTTTACTTGGCGATCAGCGTCTTCTAGGTTTAAATGTTCACTCCACGTTAGAGGCTGTCCTAGATGCAAGTATTTCAATACGTCACGTCATATCCTGTCCAGTTTTGACGTTAAGTGGGCTGATATTAAATAGAAGTCTGGGGCTAAAACAACAGGCCTACTCCATCATCAGGCCATTTTCAAGGTTGTATGTAAAAGACAGAGGGCAGCAGATTGATGTGTTTCTTGTTCACATAACGCTGTGGTCACTGGCGAAGCCATGACTTATTTTGACTGCGCTCAATCATTCCTGAGAGAGAAATGTGGCAGACGTGAGCATCTGCAGTAGATCACCAAATTGATGAAATCCAGGAATTTGTATAAGAAAATGCCCAGTTCGTAAAAATAGTGCAATCCACCCTCCCAAAAATTTAATGTATTAGAGGAAACCTCTCAATAAAAAAGGCTTTTTGAAGTGTATCAACTGATATTATATGCCAAAGAAAACTCAGGTTTTAGAATAACATCTAACAAGGAAAGAATAGAAAATGGAAGCATCTAAAACAATTAATTTTGCAAGGTAAAATATATTATGTTCATGCAGCAATTTGAGATAATAAAGCAGCACACGTGAAATTACATTTAAAAGTAACAGTTTTTGAAATGAGGTAACACTTGTTATGTAAAGTTGGATTGTAACCGATTAGCCCAAAGCTCTACTTCGTAATTAAATATGATTTCCTAACATCTTCCAGATGTTTCTGTGTTGCAGCGCCCATTGAACTACGGAAGACTAATCTAACGTGATGCCCACCGGAATGCACCCACTGGGTGGTCAATTTAGTAAGCGAGTGAATAAGCTCAGGCGTGGAGAAGTCCGTCAGTGACTTATAAATTTAAATCCATTTGCAATATGCAGTCGTAAAAATACCATCTTGTGTTAAATGACAGAAATTTTCTTCGGCCACATTCCATCGCAATTATTTCTAGAGTTTCACTGGGATAAGATTGAGGTTGCTCTTGAAATTCTGCTTCCATTTTTATGAATTTCCGGGTTTTTGTTTGTTTGTTCCTATATGTTGATATTGTTTTACCTGTTTACCAAAAATTTCGCAATAAGATATTGCTTAAAGTATTTGAGCTAAAAAGGCGGTTTTGAAAATGCCTTATGAAGAAAAAATCAAAATGGGATATTTTGGCAAGTTTTGTGACCTCCCAAATAATGGGGGATACATACCACACTGAAAATGAAGAAACTTATTTTTTTTCTATGTTAACCTGAGCTTTTCTGAGTATTTAAATGTATTGCTTATCTTTAGGTCACAAAACTTGACAGATTTAAAAGGAAAATGTTGTAAACTAACTTTGCTTTTCTTTTCCCGACAACCATGTTTTATTTGATGCATACACTAACCTCACATTCGTGAATGCAAAACAACACATTCTCTTTTGTAAAAACAAATAATTTAACAATTCTTGCTCTTTATTAATGCTCTCCTATAGTAAAATATGCAAAACAAAGAAGTTTTTTTACACTGCATTTAGTAGCGTAGGTTATTCCTCAGATATCAACAAACGCTGGATTTCGCCCAGTTCGTCCTCTTTTTTCTCCCAGTTTATGTATCTAAGCGGAACTAATTTCTAGTAAACAGCATTTTGCGCCTCAAGTCAACACAATCTACAAAACAAACAACCTCAAATGTGT